TATATCTCGGTGGATTTGTGAAGGCTTCAGCAACTTTTATTGCTTCTAATTCAGTCAGTTCTTCATTTGATAATGAATCAATTAGTTCTTTGATATCATGTTCATCAACTTTTAATTTTATTTGTTCAGCAAACTTCATTACTGAAGTATACAATGTATGCGTAAAACCGGTTTGGTGGGGAACGAGTGACGTAGGTGTGTTAAGTCTAATTTTTATAACTCAGAATTTTTTCCTTAGTCCTTTCAGATAATTTCTGCAAGTTTTAATTTACGGTAGTCAACGTGTGTCTATATATCTATAGAAGATGCAGGGCAACACAAAACCAGTAAAAGTTGATTCTCTCACGCTATTCACAGTTTGTTCCATAAATCCCGTTTTTCTGTTCCACAATCGGGTTACTCGCCGGTAGAAGTCCCAGCTTCGAGCTCTGATTAGTTCAGTCCCTTTTCTTCCTTCCCAGGTTGAAGAGTGAATATTATTTCGTGGTGGAAAGGAAACAGAAGAGTACAGGCATTAGTTAACCGAGGTGTAGATATAGCCTTATAAAGGAGCATAATTGCGATCCTGGGTGACGACTTGGCAGCTTCATGAAAAGAAGGATGCCATTCTTCTTTCACTCTAGGCTATGTCCGCTTCTTCGGTTTGTTGGTATACGTGAAGCGACTGGCGGAAGATACCTAAGCTAATCGTTCTCCCCGTTTACAGCAGCTGTCCATAACACGCTGTTCATAAACTCTGGTCTTGTCATGTTTTTGTGCAAAGCAGATACGGAGTATGTTCATTTATGAGGATGTCAAAAAACGGTAAGGGCAAGCCAGAATTCTGCATAACAGCGACGTTATATCCTGTAGATGAAAAAGCTTTTCTTCCTAATTTTTAAGATTTTTTTGTTTGAAACGTGATTTACAAGCTATGGAATAATTTTGACCAGTCATCGTTTTAGAACAGGTTTTTCGACAGACATTTACGTCTTTGACATCGGTACCTTTGACCGTGTTATACCCGTCGGTCGATGTGCAATACCTTACGGCTTTGATGGCTCGTAAGCCGTCAGTTCCGGAAGATTCAATCCCACCTCATCGAAATCACGTATTTTTGTCACTGAACCGTTTCGAGAGGAAAAAGAATCACGCGTTGGCCATACGTGCTCTCGGTACGCATTTTACTGTTGTGCCAAGCTTTACGTTGAAGAATTCGTTTCTAGGAGTTTTGCAGTCGCAGCTTTCAGAGCAATTTTGGGACGAGGTCCATTTGGTCATCGCCGGAGGTTATGATCTGAACTTGCCGGAAAACGTGGCCCATTTCTTTGAGTTGCAACGGTTGGTGGAAAACCTTGGCCTCACTAGTCATGTAACTCTGCTCAGGTCTCCGTCCGAGGAAGCTAAAGTTGCCCTGTTGATGGTTTCCACCGCCCTACTGTACACACCGGAAAACGAGCATTTCGGAATCGTACCCCTGGAAGCAATGTTTTGCGAAACACCCGTAATCGCCTGCAACTCCGGCGGACCGCTTGAAACCGTTGAAAATGAAAAGTCTGGCTTCCTCGTTCCTTCAGAAAGTAACTGCTTTGCGGAGAGCATGCAATTCTTCCTACAGAAGCCGTCGAAGAAGGTCGAATTTGGATCCAGTGGCCACAAAAGGGTTATTGAAAAGTTTTCTTCCAACGTTTTTTCTGAACAGCTGTGCCTTATTTGCAAAGAATTGTTGTAAGGCGCACACACCGGAGCGGTGTTTTTTAAATTGTCCTTAGCAACGATTTTTAGGCTGCTTCTAAAGTGTTAAAGCTATTGTAAATAAGTTATTGTGACTGTTTGCTTGATTAATATGAGTATATTTTGCAAACAGTATACCTTGCTGCTGCAATTGAATGTTTTTAGTCATGTCATTTTTGCTTCAGACCTTTTGTATAAACAGATTCATTGGATGGTCACGTGCTTAACGGTGGTTGCAATATTATCAATGCAAATGTCTCGGTTGATAACTGAAATTTTACCTGTATGAATGAGGAATGCCTACGAACATACTTCAGTGATCACATTCTGTGGAATCTCGTCGCTTAATGGCGTTTTTGGTTTTTGGATCATCTTGACCGAAGATATATATTGTTTTATTTACTTCTTACAGCCATTGCATTAAATGGAAAATTAAAATAAACATACACCTTAAGCTAAGAGATCTGATTTCATTGTTGACAGCGGAGTAAACAAGAAAAGGTTTTGATCTACAGGTATTCCAACATTCAGGGCGAATCAAAATCGGTTATCATCAGCGAGTGAACAGAATAAAAAAAACATCTACTCGGTCAGTTTGTGCTTATCTAAATTGGTTGGACGCTTGACCTGTCACTAATTAAGCAATTAATTAAGTTCCACGCCGTAGAAATGTCAATGGAGCCGATGCAACCATTGCAAGTTCCGCATTTGCTGGTTGTGATGTTAAGCTACTCCGTGTTTAGTAGTTTTATTTTGTCACTGTGTCGACTTACTACCGGCCTACTGTCGATTTGCTGTCAGTTGCTAAAATCATGATTACTTTTTGGTCATGAGCGTAGAAGCCGGAATGCTAACGTTACAGTCGCCGTGGCTCTTGTGTGCTCCGCTAATCTGGTTTATAACGCTCGACGGGTTTTGCCAATATAAATGCGATTGCGGTTATTGCAGTCAATGTGGCAGACGAGTGCTTATTCTCCAAACTGAGGTCAAGATCAAACTGCGTACAGCACAGGTTTCCTAAGGCTTCGCCTCTGCAAATGCCTTAACAGCGTCCCTATTTAAATATCGCAATTTTCTCAGATGTGTCTGTGATGCTAAGTATAGAGATCGAGGAATGACAATCAGAAGAACGGGTAGATCAAATGTTCAGTGTATGAATGATGAATCAATTATTTGGGTTGTTCGTTTTTCTGAATTGATGAAAGACTGAATTTCACTTCTAAGCAATTGACAATTGCTCAGTAACGTAGAAACCTATGACGCATGCCTGTTATGATATCGATAAAAGCGCCTTTTAGAATATAAGGTGGAAGTGCCAAAGTAAATACTAGTGTTCTGTGGATTTCTATGTGCCATGAAGGAGAATGTGCCATGTGCACTTTGAATTATATTCTCATCTGCTGTCGTTTAAACTGATTATATAATCCGTAAGGAGCTAATGGTATTGACGGGTGGCACAAACCAGCGTTTATTTATGGTTAGGGTATATTCAACATCGTGAAGTTCCCCATGCGCCTTGTGTACAGACTGAACTGGCTAGGGTTTATTCAGCTGCTAGTAAATTCATGTGTTGTAATCTACCTTCAGCATCGGACTATGAAACGAATGGCCTGGTTCCACGTTCCTGCTTTGTGATGGCAACACGTTTTTCGCTCAAGGAAATGCTACGTTATGATTCGTTGTCGCACTGACCGGAATAGGTTGATGCTCCGTCAAGTTAGCTTTTCACCGCACCGATCGACGAACACCTTTCTACTGTGTCGACATGCACGCTTTACATGGGGAATTCTTGTAAACAACAGAATCTGTGCAATTATCGAATCATAAAGATATTTGGTAGAGATTTATAACATTTTGCTACTTAACGATACGAGAGAATATCATTTTTCTCTCTGGTGCTATCGAATGCTAAGGCCTATCATATCTGGCATACGTATGAAGTTTACGAATGTCTGCTAAGGGTGTCATACTGTCACGGCCATCAGACCTTACAAACTGTCATCTGTATTGCAATAAGGCCATGCTAAACATAGCATTTATACTTAACAGACGCTAACATCTTAACGAATCATCAAATAATGCATGACTTCTCCAAATCTTATTACACGCTGTATTGCGCATCCTCTTGCTTCTAGAGTTCCTCTGTCAATCCCTGCAGTACGTACACGCTATAGGCGCGAAATAGCTCAAGCAAACAAAATCATGCTCAATGCATCTGACACTGCAAGTGCTCAATTACCACGCTGTTGCCTGCTAAAATGATCCCTCAGTGGAACTGCCGTTAAATCTAGTTTTAAGGAGTCATTCGTTATTGACATGGTCATAGACATATAAGCATAAAAATAACTTGCAGTGTACAGACGAATTTATCATCAAAAACGCGTGCCAAACATGTTGCATAACACCGAACGCCACAAATCGCCAAGCTTAATTAAGGGAATCGTTGAGGACAAATTGAGCTAGTGCCACCGAACACGCGTTGCGAGATATGAGGAGATTCGAGGTGTTGAATTTTCCGTCGAAGGAGTGTACAGAGAGCAAGAAGCAGCTACGACGCTAAAGTCACTGTCCACGTTAATTTTCAAAAGAAAGCAGATGGAAGTTTGCATTCTGAAAATGGAATTGCAGTGTTGGATAGGGTGAGTGGAAAATTAGATAATTTCCGATATGTTGAAACAGGAAAAAGCCAACATTTCTCATGTCAATTACGTCCGCAGTTTCTCGATGTATGGTCTAGCAGTGCAATCAAACTCTGTATTAAGTTTCTTAAGTTTATATCGTTTATTACCATATTGAATAGTAAGTTATGAAGTGGTCAGAGGAGAATTGCAGCCGTATGAGGTGCTCCCTTCGGAAAGCATGGCCTTACCTCTTGCCCATTCTAGCATGATCAAAGAACAACACCACGCTTCCTCTGTTTTTGGCAAGTCAGCGACAGAAGTAGCGCGAAGCTAATTCCTTGCTCTAGGGAACTACTGATTAGGAGAGCTTATTCGCCTCTCGGAATGCGAACCTTGTTCCAAGCCTACCTTCTAACATTATAGCACCGCTCCCTTGAGCGAAGGATACTCGTGCCATTAGGATCAGAAAAAAACAACTGCAAATCGAGAAGAAATTATGCATAACAGTAAGTCGACCTAGAAATAGTCTGATAATGTGCTTAGATAAGAGACTGCAATGATAATATCTTTTGATCCCACAGTCGAGATTTAGAAATCCTGGAGACGCGCGAGTCGACACTGCAATGACTGCTGACAGAATGGTAGCCCGTTGTAGTTTAACCGTTAGTACACTAAATGTAGCATAGATAAGTAAAATGCTGATGCAGGCTGTATGTATTCTGCTTACCGACTGAAGTCAGGAGTAGGGTACAAGACTCTTATAGCAACTTAGAAATTTCAACTTATTGGTAGTCCCAATTCTGTTTGTCCCGTCAGTGGTTCCAACGGGAATGACCTATGTGCTTTCCTGAATAAGCAGCCCATACTAGATCACTTCCATCCAAAAAATGCATTCTTGTTGACAATACTCATTCTATGAATCTTGATCCTGAGTGGTGTCTATCAGTAGTATCGAAAATCACGCTCATATTGCACTTATATGTTTATGAGTAATAATATTATTCGTGATCAAATGCTTCATCAATAATGGGGAGCAGGAATGGGCAACCTCAGTGACTTGTTCAGATACTGTATCTGATTTGTGAGTTGTAGATGCTTGTCATGTTCGTCTTCAGCGTCACTTAAGCAGATTGAATTTAAAATTGTTGCCCTTC